TAGTTTCCCCTGTATTGTGTACTGTCTCACCCTTCACCCAAGATACCACTTATCTATTGCCTATTTAGTATTTCCCCCCAACCCGTCCCATCCCTGGTGACCAACAAAGATTGTTACATATTGTGTTTGAACTTTTTCATGGGTTTTTAAATTAACTTTTAAGTTATAATTCCAGAGCACAATCTCTATCCCATTTGAACAGATAATTATAGATGAGGAAAATAAGGTTCAGAATAACTTCCACGTTATTCTGAGCCAAGACTGGTTCTTCTCATTTCTCAGTTAGCAAACTTTCCCTGAGCGATAGTGTTGCCCCTGCCTTCTTGGCAGGGTTTTTACAAGCTTTAGAGATACTGTGTTGTGTGTGTGCTGGACACTTAGGAGGCTCCCTATAAATGGTAGCTATTATGTGTCCAAACAAGCCCTGGTGGCACAGTGATTAAACACTGGGCTGCTAACCAAAAGGTCTGCAGTTCAAACCCACCAGCCAAGCCACTCTGTGGGAGAAAGATGTGGCAGTCTGCTTCAGTAAAGATTACAACCTTGAAAACCCTATAGGGCAGTTCTGTTCTGTCACATATGGTTGTTATGAGTTGGAGTTGACTGGACGGCAACGGGTTATTACGTGTCCAGAGAGCAAAGAGCATTTGCATCGAAAGAGTGCCAGCAGGTTCTTTAAAGTCCCTCTCAGTTTGGGACTTATGGGTTAATTGTACTTTATGGTTTTACTTGCTGATGAGTTGGTGCACATGCATTTGTCCTTCCAAGAATTTGCAAAGTGTCACTAAATTAACTTTTTCTTCCTTTTCTATTCCTAATTCCTGAAATACCTTTATAGTCGTGACCTGGTAGTAAAAAAAAAGTATTAAGGAACATTTACTTAGGTTTTTGTTTAATCTGTTTGTGTTCTTTTTCGTTAACAGTCTCTGATATTTGATGAAGTTGACCTCTCAGATGCCAGTGTAGCTGAAGCAAGCACAAAAAATGCTAACAACAGCTTCACGGTATGGTTATATTCTGATAACTCCCTGCTCAAAAGTCACAGAATGACCTCACTAACAGCGGGCAGAGTGGCTTCTTTGGTGACCAACTGTGTGTCACCATGTATATCGGGGTCATTACCAACTCAATAAACTCTAATAAATTCATTGTGTTTTCTGATCCCCACCACTATTCAAGATCGTTTGGTTCAGTAAATCTGGGTCTAATTATATATTTTTTAGAATGTATTTATATATATTTTTTTCCCTTTTAGACCTTTTAATTTTAGTGCTTTAAAATTTTCTCTTCCTTTAAATTAATACTTCAGTTTATTCCATTGTTCTTGAACATTCAGAAGGTTTATGATTCACTTTCAATCTTAAAAGTTATATTTTCCTTCTTCTCTTCTTACTTCAGTTGCCGAAGTTCAGACAGTTGCTGTAGTTCAGGCTTTCATATCTTTCCATTTAAATAATTCATTTGGTGGCTATTTAGGAGGTGGCCTCTGTTCCAGTTCTTCCATTCCAGTCACCAATCACACTGCCCCAAAGACCTCCCTGGTACTCCGCTGCCTGCCAAGTTGCTCCTCCAGCTCAAAGTCTTAAAAACTCATACCTCAGAATTCTAGTGTTACTCGTAATTATTTGTCCTTATATACCCCACCGGTTCAGCATTTCTAAGTCCTGTTCCCTCCAACTTGAATGATTTCTTCCTAATTTATAGCTGTTGAAATCCTGCCCATTCTTCAAAGCTTATCTCAGATATCCCATTCTGCTTTTACTTAACTCATTAAAAAAATGTGAACTGTGTACCCACCATGTGTCAGGCTCTTGAGCTAAGCAGAAAGGATACAGATATGAATAAATACATATCACTTCCCTTCAGATATTTGCAGTGTAGTTCAGTGAGGTTCATCTGGGGGGCTTTTATGACTGCATATTCCCTAGAGTCCTCTAAGATGCATTGCTCTTGCTGTATTGTCATTCCCAGCCCCTGCTCTATGACGTCAGTGTTTTGGGTACATCCCTAGACATGCCAGGGTAGGGAAGACAGACAGAGTGCAGTGCCATGATAGAGGTAAGCACCTGTACGGGAAGGGGTAGGAGGAGGAAGCAAATGAGTTCAGATTTAGTCTTATTGATTTATGGGCATGTGGGATAATTCATGGTGTAAATATGCTCCTCCTACTCATCCCTAGGGAGAGTTTATTATGAGAAGAGGAAAGCCAAGAATAGAATTCTGGAAAGATGTTAAAATTTAAGGTTTGTCCAGTGAAGACTGAGAGAGAGAATTCTGAAATATATGGAAGGAGAAGTAGGAGGCAATGATATTATAAAAAGTCAATGGAAGGGAGTTTCAAGAAGGAAGTTGTTAAATGTCAAATGCTACAGAGAAGTCAAGTTGAAGAATTAAGAAGCGTGTGTTAAATTTGTTAACTTGAAGGTCATTTAATCACATTGATGGGTGGAAGGGTGGGTGGGGTGCGTTAGGCTGCAGTGTGAATGCAAAGTGAGAAACTGGAGAGAGCAGGGTAGATTATTTTTTCTAAAAGCTTGGCTGTTAAAAGAAGGTATAGCTCAAAGAATATTCAGGCTAGAAGAGTGTTTTGGTTTTGTGGTTGTTCTTTTGCTTTGTTTTTAAAATGAGTTTTGAATTTGTTTATATGAAGAGAGGAAAGAATTATTGGAGACTCAAGTTGAAGAATCAGGAGTGAGAGGGAATAATTGATGGAGAAAGATTCCTGAGTAAGCTGAAGGGTACCCCAGGGAACCAGAACACAGGTTAAGAATTTAACATTGAACAGGAGACAGGAAGATTATGAAGTGTGAGTAAGAAGTTTATATATTTCAAGCCAAAATACTACTATTTTCTCAGTGAAATTAAAGACAAGGCCATCTGTTATGAGTGAGAATTTAGGAGGGTTTGGAGTAGCTTCTATAGAGAATGAGAATTGAAACTGAAAAGGGAACTGTAGAAGATCACTAGATAGTAAATAGCATCTACCAAAGATTTGAGATCAAATTTAGTGATGTCCTTAATTCTTATGTGTACAGATTTTTTTTTTTTAAGACAGGAGGAGAGAAAAACAGCTAAATTGATCCAGGGTTGATGGGTTATAGGACATATCAGACAGAAGGATGAAGGGATTGTTGGATGTTTGAGACATCAGTAACTCATCCATCTTCTTCCTCTGAGTTCTCAGTTTTTGGGAATGAAATACAAGGAGTAAGTAAAGGACAGCTTTATTAATGGCTGAACAGGACCCAATATCCAGGAAATACCGGGATTCCGGTAAACTTTTGTAGGCCTAAGGCTAAAATGTTACTTATTCTTCTCCCCCTCACCTCCCCAAGTGAAGATGGAGTGGAAAGAGCCTCATCAGTTTTGCCAATCAGATTAGCCACTTAACCTTCCCTCCAGGAGTGGAATCCCCACCCCCTGGAGACTCATGGAGTCTCTCCCTAACAGGGATCTAGAGTTTAATCTGAAGGAGACTGCCAACATTTAAGATTTCAAGGATGGAATAATTTCAGGTGAAGACAAGGTCTAGGGTGTTGGTGTAGATAAAGGTAAAAGGAGCTGGGGTTTTGGAGAAGTTTTTCAAATCCCTCGTACAGCCTACTTAGCCCTACAACTGCACGTGATCTCTCCCAATGTATCTTACTTGTGGAATTTACATATTCTGCCTTATATTTAAAATACTTATTTTTATTATAACCTCCTTGAGGGCAGGGACTGTGTCATATCTTTTTACCTCACAATGTCTGATCGATAAAATTTGTTGATTTTAATTAATAAGGTAAAACTTTCCCGTTTTAGGTATGAGAACACTTTTTATTGAACTATTTTTGAGACATTTCTTCGCTCAACCAAACATTATTTTTGAAGTTTGTTGAACTAGAGATGGACTAAAAAGTTAGGCAGAAATGGAAACAGAACAACCAGAATGGAAATAATGAGTATGCTAATACATTGTGAAAAATGTAACCAATGTCACTGAACAATATGTATAGAAATTGTTAAAGGAGAATTTAATTTGCTACATAAACTTTCACCAAAAATACAATAAAATAGTAATAATAATAATAATGTTAGGCAGATGGCTTAGGGTTTTATAACAAATCAGTTTGATAGGACTTTCTGAAGTACAAAATGAAGCAAGAGACATGTTTTCAACCACTAATTCACAATCATTCCTCTCTGTCTTTAAATATTTAAATACCCCACCTCCCTAAATTATAGTGACTGCTACTGACCGTTATTTTGGTTAGTTCATGTCAGAGGTTATTGGTAGTTTGATGCTAGTGTGGCTCAGGAATCCAGGAATGACCAAATTCTGCTTTGCTACAGTCTTCTTTCCTTCAAGTCCCTAGGGATGAAGGGGCAATAGGAAATGGAGACTCTGTGTATGGTAAATGGAAAAGATATGCTTTGCCCAAAAACCCAATGCCACACTCTCTGGTAAAGTAGGCTATGTCACACATAGTAGGTCTGGAACCCTAGGGGTTTACTTCCTCCCCTAAACTCAGAGCCAAATCTTGACATTTAACAGTGTGCATGAGACCTGAAACCAAAGAAATGAGGCCATCCAGATGCATAATAGGGAGGAGGGAAGGCTAAAGAGTTAAGCCTTCTCCTCCCTGGGCCAGCTGACCAGTCTGGCTACATAGATGGAAGAGCTTTAAGGGAAGACCAGTCAGATGGGACTCTGTGGTCTAGTCTCAGGTTAGAATTGCACTAATGAGAAGAGTAGGGGCACAAGAGAGGCAACAGACCTCCCGTGTTAACACTGTGATCTCATTTTAACATTCACTGGGCTCCCTGTGGAGTCCCTGGGTAGCACAAACAGTTAAGCACCCAGCTACTAACTGAAAGGTAGATGGTTCAAACCCACCCAGAACTGCCTGGGAAGAAAGGCCCTGTGAAGTGCTTCTGAAAGGTCACAGCCTTGAAAACCCTATAGAACTCAGTTCTACTCTGAAACACATGGGGTCGCCATGAGTTGGAATTGAATTGAAGGTAACTTTTTCGGGGGGATGGGGGAGTCCCAGTCGGTACTTAAACTTTGCCGTACAGTGGGAGCTTAAGATGTGCACTGTAAGTATCTTAATTTATAAAACAAATAATGTATAGTTAAGCTTCAGGGTTACATATAGATGATCATTTGATGACCTTTTCCATCCTTGTGATTAGAATTTTATTGAAATATACACAGAACTAGGCCATTATTTAAACCGAGAGAAGTGAAATGAACAAAAAAATCATGACTCAAAAGTGGTGGTGATTTCCCTGATCATTTTTGAGTGTACATTTGTTGACTAGAAGAGATTCTTGGAGTGCTTTTCTTTTTTTGCCCTCCTCCCAGTTTTATTGGTATCAAATTTATGCAAGCACATAGTTTAAAAGAGTCAAATACTTCTGTAAAGGTGTTAGCTCTCCTATCTTCCTCCCTTCTGTTTCCGCCTCCCCAGAGAAACTACATTTAATTTTTTTACTTGGTCCTCTTGTTATTTTACCTCCTATCTCTGAATAACATGCTTACATTGTTGCTTCTTGGTTTTGGTTGTTTTGACTTTAGGAGTAATCCGTTTACTTTCTGCTTTGGAGCCCTTATGGTGCAGTGGTTAAGAGCTCGGCTGCTAACCAAAAGGTTGCAGTTCGAATCCACTAGCCACTCCTCGGAAACCCTATAGGGCAGTTCTGCCCTGTCCTGTAGGGTCTCTATGAGTCGGAAGTGTCTCGACAGGCTTTTGGATAGAGATGAGGATTTAGCTTTCTTTCATTTTTCATGCCCCCAGCACGTGCAGAAACTTCCCATTCCTCTCTGCTGCTGTAAAATCATATTGAAATTTTTCGATCATTCCAAACCAGACCCATTGCTGTCGAGTTGATTCCAACTCCCAGCGACCCTATAGGACAGAGTAGAACTGCCCCACAGGGTTTCCCAGGAGCAGCTGGTGGATTCGAACTGCCGCCTGTTGGTTAGCAGCCTAGCTCTTAACCGCTGCACCACCAGGGCTCC